CCCCCCCCACCCAGCAGCAGTTTTCTCGGTTTCCTCTAATGGTTTCCCTAAAAAGATCCTGTTTCCTTTACCAGTGCCAACGACTGATTTATAGTTCACATGCTGCCTTTGATTTTTCTGGTTTTAGTGGTTTGGGTCATCTAATATTGCCCAGTTTTGCTCATCATTTACTATGTTCAGGCAATGTTGGATGTCTGCTTTCAGCTTTTAAATAGAAGAAATAATAACTACCTAGTTTGAAAAGCTCTTTGGGATTATGGGTTTGGTTAATATCCTCTAAAAACAATTTCAAAAAACTGTAGTAGGAGATTATAAATGACTTTTTATGTGATTGCATCCCCTGGTGCTTTGAAATAAAAACACAATAAAGAGTATAAAAGCACTTGGTCAGAAAGGCTAATCCTGAGTTGATGTCATTTACATTTAGATTTAAATAAGTCAGCCTATTTATTCTTTCCAACTTTGCTTCAGGTTTTAAATTGAGAATCCGTGGAAATTAAAAGTCCTACCTAGTTTGCTCAGATATATTTTGAAAAGTTCTAATGCCTGAATTCAGTTGACTCCTAAGCATAATAACTGTGATAAACATAAGGCGTGAGGAAATGTAACTAGTTATTTTTAATGAAACAATGTTATTGTAACAATTATTAATAATGTTCATCTACTGTGTGGTCCAGGTAAAGCAAAGCAAGGTCACTGATGTAATAACACACACTGTGCCTTCGAGATCATGGAGTATGCAAATAAGCCATATACAACTACAATAGTCATAGAGTCTGATCCCCCATTTTTATGCATGATGGAGTATAAAGCAGCATGTCATAGTGGAAGACTCTTCCATTAGGAATCCAGATCTTGATTCTGGTTCCAGATGAACCATGTGACCAATAGAAAGGCAGTTTCTCCAATCAGGATGCCTTCAGGGATCTTTCCAAGGCCAGAATTCTAGGGCTCTATGCACTATAATTCCACTTCAGATGGCGAGTGGATGGACATGTGCCCACTACACGAGAGGACGCCCTCTAAGAATGGTGCATCTGCAGAAGGCCTATTGAGATTCCTGGAACCAGCTCCTGAATAGGATGTGGGTGGGTGGGGGCTGTGAACAGTACACGGATGACCTTAACCTGATGGGGTGTGCGTGGACAGGGGCGGAGTTGGGGGGAGGATGGGATCATGGCTTACTGTTCTTCCTGTGCCCAAGAGTGGGTCCAACCGCAAGGAGAATGGCTAAGCATGTTCCGACACACATATGTATTTCTGTTTGGCAACTCAAAATTCTTCAGAAAGAGGGCATTGACTCATTTATAGCCAGGTCTCTTGATTCTCAGGCAATCTCTATGTTTTTGAATTCTACAAAACTCTTGAGGAAGAACTACAGCTAGCGTTTGAGTAATGGGCTTCTAGCTACTTCTGTACGTTTTTTTAAGGGCTTCTGCTCCTAAAGTAACCAGTTTTAAGCCACTGCAGAACTATGAGCTGACCCCATTCCAAAGCCTTGAAACTGTTCTCTAAAAGCTAAATCTTATTTCTCTTGTCAAGTGATCACCTCCTCTAGGGAAGTGAGGGGTGTAAGAAAGTACCATGGGTGTAAGAAATATTTCAGCAGTGAAAAGGGAAGAAAGGTGTTCTGGACAAAGAGGTGTGAACATGTGTGGGACACAGTGAGGCACAGGGAATGGATGCAGTGAGTCCAGAGACTCTGAGGGCAAAATCAACATGGCTTCTGTTCCCCTGGAAAGCAAGCATACCATGAAATAGATGTCATCCCTTCATGCATTTTTACCTTGCGAGTCCTCTAAAAATAAGCCTTCAGAGCCTTTCAGTTAGGGTTCATCGGCAAAACAGAACCAACAGAATGTGTGGTTTATTATAAGAAATTGTCCCAATCCAAAACTGTAGCGGGGAGGCTGGAAAGGAGAGCCAGTGGCACAGTTTCGGTCCCAAAGCTGGTAGGCTTAAGACCCAAGGAGAGCGGATGTTTCCATTCAAGTCTGACAGCAGGAAAAGATGGTTGTTCCAGTTCTGTCAGCCAGGTAGGAGGAATTTCCTCTTACTCTGCAGAGGGTCAGCCTTTCTGTGCCTTTCAGGCCTTCAGCTGATTGGATGAGGCCCACCTGCGCCTCATACAAAATAAAACCACCGTCATACCACCTCTCGGCATCGTAAGGGTTACTTGTAAACATCTGAAGATATTCCACCAGCCTGATCCCTATACTGGCAGCTCACTGTGCCTCTTGTGTTTTTGAAAGTCTCACAATGGGGCGCCTGGGTGGCGCAGTCGGTTAAGCGTCCGACTTCAGCCAGGTCACGATCTCGCGAGGTCTCGCGTGATCTCGCGTGAGTTCGAGCCCCGCGTCGGGCTCTGGGCTGATGGCTCGGAGCCTGGAGCCTGTTTCCGATTCTGTGTCTCCCTCTCTCTCTGCCCCTCCCCCGTTCATGCTCTGTCTCTCTCTGTCCCAAAAATAAATAAAAACGTTGAAAAAAAATTAAAAAAAAAAAAAAGAAAGTCTCACAATGCCACAGAAGTTCCGGACCGTGTCTCAACGTGGAGATGTTGCCAACACTCTGCTTTGATATGGACACTCTTTTCAGGATCGGTAGCTAACTCATGAGAATTCAGAACAATTTCTACGTTCTGGCGGTGAAGTGCATGTGCTAGAAAGCCTGGCTTTGAGTTCCAGCCCTTGCCTCTTAAGAGCTCTGTGACCTTGGGCATCTAGCTTAAATCCTCCGTGCCTTTGTGTCTCCTTTTGTAAGGTGTGTGTAATAATAATACCGAACTCGTGGTTTGTTGTGGTGATGGAATCAGTCAATGCGTGTGAAGCTACAGGCAGGTTATGGGGGCATGGAATGTACTCGAAAAAATAGTTATCCCCCACAGTCACATACCTTTTGTTGTAAAATGCTGTTTCAGCCTTGGCTCGGTGTTGCTTAAGCATTGGTACTTTTTGAGGAAAGAATCCTTATCAAGAGCAGGAACGTTGAATACACTCAATTAGCATACGCTTTGGATAGACTAAAACCAAAACTTCAAGGCCTTCGTTGGCTTGAGAACGACACCACATTTAGAAAATGAGTTAGAGAAGATGAAATAGAAAGTAACACATTTATAGAATATGCATAGGCTGTGGAGTATTTGATGCACTTCACTACTTCTGTGCAGTTTAGTTTGTTATAGTCAGAGAAACTGTCCATATTTTAAATGGTTCTTTGGCATCTTCACATAAAAAACATTTGCAAACAAACCAACAGTGGGTGGGGGTGAAATGCCGAATGATGCTTTTTGTCGGGGCCTGAGTTGTTAGCAGAAACAGGTGGATCGATTCAGTTGATCTTTGGGTTGAAGGCATTCACCTGACTGATGGAAATGCAACCTTGGGTAAGTCACTTGGACTCAGGGCTCCTGAGCCAGATGACAAAGTCACCAAATGTCTCGCTAGTCTTTTCTCAGTGTGCTATTTCTGACCTGTCCTAACAACCACATCATTCAGTAAGTGATTTCGTATCTGTTTAGATAAGTTTGTTCACATAACATGAAATATATTTTCAGGGTGATGTGTGAGGAGAGCCTTTGGTTCCTTGAACTCAACCTCGTGAGTGTTTCGCTGTCTGTAGGGAGGTCTTTCCTTGCCGATGTGAATCTTCAGGGCACCTAGTGCCCTAGAGTACGGTTCGGGGTCTTTGGCGTGTTCCAGTGTTTGTACGACCCTCTGGATGCTGCTGGCAGCTCCTTGATGGTGGAATGCGATGTCTGCAACACAGTTTTCTCTTTCTTGATGATCTATAAAATGTGCCCATATTACCGTGTACTTGCACCTCCATCAATACCATTATTCTGTCTTCACAAGTAATTTTTCAGATTGAGACTTGAAAAGTTCCCATGTCTGAAATTAGTCTGGCAAGGAGAGCGTATTCAGAGTCAGCTCTTTGAAGCTGGCTGTATTAGCCCACTTGATTATTTCCTAGGGGAAATTCTTCTTCTAACTAAAAAAAGGAATGCTTTGCCCATTTATCAAATGACTGAAGATAGCTGGGGATTAAGTCTGAATGGAATGATTACTGCTTTCGAAAACCCAAATAATGAAAAGTATGTTGTTGTTATGTCACTGTTGCCTGAACTGTTCGACAGTCCTGCAGTTTGTACTACCCCATGAATTTCCCCCTCCCTTCTTGTTCCTACCTCGTAAATTTGTGTATGCATTTCTATGCCTTCGTAATACTTACATGAAGCCTCTATCTCTGCAAGACTTGAGAGAGGAATGTTTGAACCATGGAGCTTGTACATGTTCACGGTGACTCACGGTCGTTATCATTCTCAGCCATGGCTGTGGTGCCACGTGCTCTTTGTAAATATTATAAAGGTAAAAATGTTCATCATCAGGCGATTGGGATGAAGCGAGGTTGGGTCTATTCTGAAAACTCTGCCCTTTTTCGCTTTTGAGGGCTAGACTCCGAACGCCCTGAGCTGTGTGCCTCGGTGTACTTCCCATTATGCTTCTCTCCCAGAAATCAGGCCATTCGTTTAATACTTCATCACGACCGAACTGCAGTACGTAGACATGGTGTGCAAAATGAGCCATTTTTGTTTTAAAACAGATTGCAGATGAAAGGAAACCATTCATTTCTTGCTTGCTTGCTGTAATTACTAGAGCGCTAATTACTCCAAATCACTGACATCCAGGGTCAGGAAGGATGACAACAGAAACATCAAAGAAAAGACGTGTCTCACTGGCGATGACAGATTTTCCGTATTCCCAACCACACTGTTGTTTTTTGGTTGTTTTTTTTTTTTTTTTTTTTTTTTTTTTTTTTTTTTTTATGGCTACTGTTTTCCAGTTTGATGGTGAAAACAACAACAACAACAACAACAAACATGCACACAGTCAAGATTGCTGAATGTTTACTATTGTTTCATTCGCAGTTTGACGGTGAGAACATGTATATGAGCATGACAGAGCCGAGCCAGGACTATGTGCCAGCCAGCCAGGTGGGTTAATTAATCTTCTCTGCCTTGTTTCAAATTGTAATTAAACAAATTCAAAGAGTTGCCTTGCAAATGAGTAGCGCTATCAGTAACTGCCGCAATCAGGAATAATCATAATTTATAAACAAAGCATTTAAGCCTTGTTTCCAGTTAATGAGATAGAGCTGATAAAACACGGGAGTTGGCATTTGTTGAAAGATACTACCTTGTTCCCTCTCCAGAATGGCAAGCAGCTGTTTTGCCAGCATGATCTTTCCTAAACAGTTGTTTTACCTTTAGGAAATAAAGTCTTTACAGGTGCAGGTTATTTGTGCTTCTGACGATAGACGAGTTAATCATTATAAGCTGCACATGTCACGAATCGCTTTCATTATCAACTGTTGGGGCAGTTGTCAATACAGGGCTACCTTTCTAACCAAAATCACATGGCCCGTGAGCACTGTATGGCGGCCTTCAGAACCTACCAGGTCGGGTAGCTTTTTTTTGCCCAAATGCACGATGTGATTGAAATCTTTCAAGAGCGCGTTTGTAGCCATTTCGCTAGGAATGGTTGACAAGGTATTTAACCGTGAAAAGTGACGACAGAAGTCCAATGAAAACGTAAACGGTTACGTTTATAAAAGTAAATTCTGGGCTCTTTATTTTTAGACACTTAAAGACCAGGGCCTTTAATCCAGTGAGGACATTTAAAGCCAAATTATAACTGCCCCAAAGTGCGAGCATAACATAATGTGTAATAACAGTGTAAACGAAAATAAATGAATCAATGAAAACAAGGGAGAATTCATAGGAGCATTTTGTAGACTTGAACTTTTTTTTTTTTTTTTTTCCTGGAAGAGCAGCAAAAACCATGGCAGTTTGAAGTTTCATGTATCAGTAACTGTGGTGTAAACCCTAGCACGGGAGTTTTCAATGCCTGCAAAGCTGTCCAAAGGGATTTGATAACGGGGATGGGTGGGGGAAACAGAGAACAAAAATAAAACTTGGATTTTTCTTCATGCTATTTGTCAGTGAATTAATCTAATGTATATGTGAGGGGTGCACTTCGTGAAGCTTTGAAATTTCTTCGAGCACAAAATGTCTCGTGCTTAACTCAAAACAGAGGCAAGCCTGCCTCTCCATGAACTTTGCATTTAGAAGTCATTATGATCACTGCCTTCTCTGGCAGACATTCTGGAAACTACACTATACTGTTCAGACGAGAAGGTCATCCCTGAGTTCAAAGATCCGGACTCCATTTCCTTCCATTCAACTGAGTTGATCACTTTCAGGATACCTTTGGTAGGCTGAGCGTTGCATTTAGAACTCTCACTTCACAGAATTCATTCAGCTAAGTAGCCTCCGAGATCCATAGGTAGTTCTGAATAGGACTGTTTGATTAAAAAATGAAAAATGTTACTATTAATTTTCTTCTAACCATCAATCCCCAAACTGTACTGACAAGTTTAGTATTACGATTAGATTAAAGTAACCCAGTATCATCTCTTTGGTGCCTTTAGGGTTTTGAAGTGTAAGGGCTAATTGAATTTGTTTGAAACAGTGGAAACACAAACCCAATAAATGATTGCTGCTATAAAGCAACTGCTCCATTTCAGAGAATCATTATGTCTGTCTTAAAGACTTTTGGATAAAGGATTGGAAATCCAAAGCATATACATCATAACAACTTGGCTCCTTAGATTTTTAAATTCAAGTACGATGGATACTATTAAGCCCTGACTAAAATCAAACAACCAACATTAATTATTTCTTTTAATATTCCAATCAGGAGTTACTAAGAATGTTTTAAATACCAGTGAGAACATACATACATACATACATATATACATACATACATACATACATACATACATACCAGTGATAATTTATGAAAGAGTAAAGAGCCCCAAATACTTTCTGCGCTTTGTAAAAATCTGGCAGGTTTGTGTGCCCGAAGCAAACTATTTTTTAATAATGTAGCACATATAAAAATGTTTCCAGAGTGTGCTCTTTTAAAAATTAGACTAATGCAAGATAATACATACTCTAGGGGGGAATAAACTTTGCAAATTACATAAGTTGAATGGCCTTAGCTAAATTTTACGCTTAACGTTCCTTTTGTTTACTGTAATATAGTGTGTCCAAAAATTCATTACCTGGTATTCTTTTAGGGAAGCTTCATCAATGTATCCCTTTTGGCAACCATAAATAGGATTTTAGTCCTCTTACAGGGAAAAAAAAATAGTTTTATTCCTTTTCCTACATAACATCAAACATCTGCATAGTTTAGTGATCCAAGATAACTTGCCTCGTAGCATTACTCAACAATTATAATTCCTGTTCAATCTTCAAATCAGTACATGCTTTGGGACTTACCGACTAAGTTGCTAAGTAGCAACATATGGTATACTACTGCTCCTGTGATGTTGCTGGGAGCAAATAGCATAATTCTAAACTTGAAATGATTTTTATAGAAAGCCAATGCTGGAATGGCTCCAGCAATGGAAGCACACTGTAAAAATTAATGCTATTCTTTTAGACAGTCCCAAAGGGCTCTTTGGTGCTATCTACTACATGCCTTCTATACCTCTGAAGCTAGTGTGTACAGATCCTTAAAATTCTTTGCATATCATTCTGTAATTGATAGGCAGCTTTTAAATTGTGTACTACCTTATAATAAGCCTGACAACTATGCAATAAAAACCCATGACATTTCCACTTCTCCCTAGCTCCATTCTTGGAATATGGGCTATTTTCTCCTCTAATAGCTAGCTGTGAGTGTGCTGGCCACTCAGTACTTTAATTTAAATACCACTTAACCTTTTTTTTTTTTTTTTACCTTTGAGTGCATAGAATTTGAAGCATGTGATGCAAGACTTCTTTGTGTGTTTCTAGGCCCCGGCTAAGGGCGGACCATGTTGCTTGTTATCGCATGAGCTTGCAGATCTCCTCCCAAGTAGTTTGTGAGAAAATGGGAGCATGTTAAAGAAAGGAAAGCCAGATGTGAAGTGTGGACAACAGTCCTTCATAAAGTCACTTCTTTCTCATTTTTAACTCGTCATGTCTGATTGACCAATATGGCGGAGTAGAGAACAGCAAGGCAGGGGGGATCTGGCTCCCCACCTTAGCTCTCACTCTTCCCTGGAATCTTCCAAACCCACTCAACTCTGACTCACATGCCCTGAGGCCCCTTTCCTTGAACAACTCAAGCCCCTGTCTCCAGCCCTTAGAATTATGGTACCTTCAGTAGCTCCTTATATGTGATTCTACTCAAGATATAAGTGTTCATTTCAAGTAAATACATCAAAGGAAACAGAAGAGGAATCTGGTTCTCTTGATTTAAACTACGTCACCAAGGTTATTTGTTTGTGTTTATTTTTTTTTCTTTGAATCCAATCTTTTTTTATTTATTTGGGTTTCATTTTGAATATGTGCCATTACTTTGTCTCCTTCTTTCTTTCTCTATGGCTGTTTCCAGAATATCATTTTCCATGGCTACCTGTTCATTCTAAGCTTCCCACTCACACTGGTGACATTTTCTCCAGTTCTCTGGATGCAGAAACATTCTCATGCATGCCTCTGTTGGGGTTCTATGTGAAAAAGTTTGAGAAGGACTGATCTTTTTTATGCAAGAAATAATCACTTGATGGGGGAATCACAAGGTTTTTATGGTGTCAGGTCATAGAGAAGCTTAATGCTCAAGACAGTTACTTGACTGAACCATATTTTCAATAAATCACTTCCTCCTTGACCTTGGCTTTTACTCTGCTAAACCATTTCCTTCTGTTTGGTTTCCGTCCTTACTTCCTTGCTTGCTTTATTCCTTCTCTCCTCCTTTTCCTCCTTTCTTCTTCTTCTTTTTTTTAAAATTTTTTTAGTGTTTCTTTTTGAGAGAGAGAGAGAGAGAGAGAGAAAGAGAGAGAGAGAGAACGAACAGGGGAGGGGCAGAGAGAGAGGGAGACACAGAATCCGAAGCAGGCTCCAGGCTGTGAGCTGTCAGCCCACAGAGCCCGATGCAGGGCTCGAACCCACAAACACATGACCCAAGCCAAAGTCGGATGCTTAACTGACTGAGCCACCCAGACACCCCACTTGTTTCTTCTTCTTACTCTCCTTCCTTCCTCCTTATTTCCATGAATACCTATCCTTTAAACTTGAACCAATGTTTATGGTTAATTCTGAGCATCACAGTAAGCCTGAAGTATTAAATGTCCTGACCTGAGATCTGATTTTGGATTATTTTCAGTTTGTGCAGGTTTCCCTTTGCTTCTTTTCTTTTCCCCCACAGAAATCCTGTCTCTTACCTGGTTCCTCAAATCTCAAGATGAAAAAACACAATAATCAGGGCACATGGGTGGCTCAGTTGGTTAAGCATCTGACTCTTGATTTCAGCTCAGGTCATCATCTCATGGTTCGTGAGTTCGAGTCCTGCATCAGGCTCTGTGCTGACAGTGCAGAGCCTGTTTGGGATTCTCTCTCTCCCTCTCTCTCTGCTCTCCCCCATTCATCCTCTCTCTCTCTCAGAAATAAACAAACATTTAAAAATATGATGATAAAATAGATGCAATATTATTTTTTTCCTAGAATCTTAAAACTGAGCATTTAACACATTCCATATCACGTATTTTGAATATAAAAGTCGAAGGGCGTCTAGATATTAAGGGCAGCCCGCTCATGTGAGTTTCAGGTTTGATTTCTAACTCCACTTGGCTCCTGTTCCTGACTGCAGCTCAGACTCAACATAGTAATTCATCAAATCAACATTCATCACCTCCAACCTACTCCCTCACCCCTCAAGCTTTCTTATTTCCTGTATTGTCTATAGTCGTGAGAGGTAGCACCGCTCTACACAGTCACCAAGACACCAAGAGCGTCTCCCTTATGACTCAACCCTGAGTGAATCTCAGATAGCGTTGATTCTGCTTTTGAACCTGTCTCTTCTTTCCTTCTACGTAATTACTGCCTGAGACCCGGGCTTCAGAGTTTCTCATTAATTTCTCCCACGTCACCTCACTTCCACCTTT